GGTTTTTTCTTTTTAGTCCTTCTTTATTTTCAGTTTAGTCCTCTTATTTCTAACTTGTTACTCAAGTAAGTACCTCTATTGTGCTAAAATGTACACTAAAATCCTATTTTAGAAGGCCCTAGGGTGCTCTTCTACCCATGCAATACCTATACTATCCTTTCTTTTACTTTGAAATTACTATTCTTATCAGAATTACCCTTTTCCACGCCTAAACTACCCCTAAAAGATTCTCAAAATTACTGATTCTACCTAAATTTTCAACAGCTGTAACCAATCCCCTAAATTAATTCAAAACTAACTAAGACTGATTAATTAGAACTCAGAAATTAACTAATTGAACTAACCAATCCCAATTATTCAATCACACAAACTCAAGCAATTTAGAAACTCAAGAGACCAGGATCACTCAAAGCAAAGCTTAAGCTAATAGTCGAAATTAAATGAAATTAAACTAACTTTTAACCAATAAGCTAACAATTGACCATTTGAACACCAAACTCAGAACTAAAAAGAAGTTGAAATTAACCTAAACATCTAGCTAACAATTAATGGACAAAATTGTATCGAATCCAAACTAATCAATTATGACGATTCTGAAATTAAATCTATGATTAACTAACAAATGACACATGCATCAAACTAAAACAAAACTAACAATGAGAAGATGCTTCACTGATTAAAACTGATGGAACAAGGAATCAAAAGAAAATTTAAACTATACTAATAAACAAAATAAAACATAAAATTAACAGAACACTTACTATAGAACTTGCTCGACCCTAAATTATTCCCAAAATAGCCAAACTGCCTGAACCCTAGATCCAACAATTCCTGAGCTCTAATGAGATTCGAGAGACTCTGGCATGGAAATCGTCATGAGGGTGGTTTAGGGCTTGTGGGGTACGAATTTGGAGCCATTTGGGCAAAGTGTCATTTTGGGCCTGAACTTCAAATGAACATTCGAGCAGATGGGCCCCGATTCGAGGGAAATTGAGATGAGATACAGAGAGAGGACGACAGGAGGAACCTAGGGTGTTTGTTTTGGCGGTCATTGGCGTCAACGCCGCCGTGGGCGGCGGAGATGTCAGTCACAAGATCG